AATTTGTACCCTTTTTTATCTCATTTGCACTCTCTAGTAGAATAGTAGTGTAAATTTTGGATTTAAGGCTCAGTTTGGAAGGAGTACAAATACAATATGTAGAGTGTAAAACCTTGTATTTTGTATTATTTGGTCTGTATTTATACTTTACATATTTCTATTTGTAATCTGTACAAACTAAGCTTAAAGAAATAGTAGAAAATATGCACCGCTTTCACCTACCTCAATTCTCTCATATAAAATGGGGACCAAATCATCTTGCTTCCTATCTCACTCTCAAACAAATAACTTTTCTCTCACCTCCATTCTCTTGGATATAAGGTGGGACCATAAATAAACAAAACAAGGTCGGATCTTATTTGCACTCTCATGAATTTACACCAGTGAAAGTTGCACTGGAAATAAATGCAGCCTTGGGAAAAGAATCAAGTAAGATTTCTTGATGGTTGTATCAGAGATTTGGGAACAAATTCTGCCTTCACTCGGGATTGTGGAGTTTCAATGTTATACATCTTTTTGATACATTGCATGGGATTTTTTTGTGAGTGATAAAGACGAATTCACATCTGTGCCCCACAGAGGGTACCCCACAGCATATCCCAACTGCGTATTGCGAATATCTCCCACTGAATTTTGGAAAAAGTTCTCAATGCATGTCGAGATGTGCATGTGGGGCGTTTGCGGGGTGCCCTCCGTGGGGCACAGATGTGATCTCGATAAAGATGGATCTTAACTCTGGATCAGAAGCATTCATTGACTAAAAGTGGAGACAGATTGATAGAATGCATCACATTATCATTATCTTGATTGGAGGCACGCCCAAAAGCTCTTGACCTGCCTGACTCGCATTTGGCAAGTTGGCCTTAGATTCTTTGCTACAACCCAAACACCACCCAAATCACTGCTTCAATCTTGACTTGGTGTGATTAGCAGTACTATCTCACAAATTCTTTTTAAAGAAGAAGAAAGCAAAACATAAACTTTACTCCACTCTCAAGCCCTTCGAGTGTTTACTAGTGCAATAGCTTTTATTTAGATCCCAAAGGAATCCCTCACTTCTCTTCAATTTTCTGTTCACACAGTTATATTTATTGAACTCAAGGTTCAAAGTATCGTTATGTATCAGCCCGTATCAGTCGATACGTATCGTTTCGGGACCCTTCCGATACACCCTTATAGTGGGTGTATCAGGATTCTGACCGGTTCAGAGGATGGAGAGGTCCTAGACTGGCTTCCCTGAACCAGTTTTGAAAAAAATAATAATAAAAAACAAGTATCGAAACGCCCAATATGCCCCTACCGGCGCATCGGGCTTATCAATATTTTGAACCTTGATTGAACTCCCCAACACTCCTTTCAAAAGGCTACTCAAGTATTAAAATCAAGTATGCGACTTCAGTTACAGTTAGTCTATACATTAAACTGAAGAGAAGATTCAAACCAATCAAAGGGGTAAGGGGTATGTAAGGTTGAACTATTGGACTGAAATATATTTATATGTTTCTTTTCATGAGTGGAGTCTCCACTCTCCACGATCAAAAGAGCCATAGGAACCCTTCTTTCAAGAGAGAGAGAGAGAAAGCCCATAAAAAAACATATTACCTTTTTCCGAGAAGAGAAAGTTCTGAATTTTGGAGGGATTCAACACTTTCAAGCTTGTCATGACACAAATATACTTCTCCCCTCATTCGAGAGGTTTTATGCCTATCCCCAGTTGCAACCTCTTTTCTTCTCTTCTGTACTCAATCTAATTGCAATGGAGGTGAAGCCCGGGAAAGCCCTGATTTTTTTAAAGTAGGGGTACAAATGGATCGGATCATGATCCATCTCGATCCGAGATCCGGTCCTATTTAGTCGAATTTGGACCACCCCGGCACCTCTTATCCGATCTGATATATGTTACATATTTATTAATTTATAAATATATTATTTATTTTTATAAAAACAATCATATATATGATAAAATAATTAAAAAATATTTATATTTTTTACTTTTTCTTTATTTAAATTGGTATATTATATTTTTCTTTTAATAATTTATTAATTTTTAAAGAAAACAAGTTAAATCAGATCAGATCCAAAAATCCAACTTACCAATAGGATTCGAATTAAGATCGAAACCTAGCAGATCTGATCGAATCTACCATGAACAATATCAGAGCGGATTCGAATAAACCCTAATTCGAATCCGATCCGATCCGTTTGCATCCCTATATTAAAGTGCCATTAAGTCATGATAGAGCTTTGGAGGCTTGCGCTTGCACCCAAATGATGTTGTCTGGCACAACACTTTATTTTCCCTCTAAGGTCTTAATCATTGATGGGTCTTAAATCATTGATGGATTCAAGGATCAAGACGAAACCACATGGCAAGAAAGGCACCTCCATCATTGTCACAATCTCAGCCATTGAAGTGGTAGGCCCCATAGATGGTGACTAGAACATTTGGTGCCATACCCCACACTAGGAAATAGGAATCTTAGCATGCTCTCTTGCTTGACTTGTAGATTTTATCTATGCCACGTGGCAGTATGGGAGTGCCTCTCACCTTTTTCCTTGGCCCACAACACCAGCTAACATTTGTAGTCCATAGTATGACCAAGCGGTCCAGTATATGAAGATCCGCAAGGCCGTAACCTTATTAGTCAATTTGGATTCGAGGACCCGTAGGGATAATCAATCATCAATTTGGATTCAAGGACCCAATATTTGCATGACTAAAAACCTGTGTTGATGACTTATTAATGAATATGTTATGGCTATTTTCTCTGATAAATTCTAGACAAAATCTGTTTATGTTTCTATCTAACTAAAATTACCTGCACATTTAATAGTACTTAAAGATATTAATAGGGTGTAATAATCTATATATACATACATACTAAAACACACACAGTGAGAAACTGAGAAATTAATCTGTCAAAATACCTCTGCATTATAGGAATTCTTTGTTTCCACCAAACCCCTCCCATTATGTTTTGCATCTTCCAGTAACAGGCATTAGCTTTTTAATTCTTTCGAATAAAAAAGCGAGTAAAATAAGATTATCCTTACCATGTAGGAGGGGTTTAACAGCCTTAAACCTGCAAAAACAGTGACATGGAAGAGCATATAGGCCCCATTCTTGGTTTGCAGCACAGAAAATAAAAAAAAAAAACACTAACCTGCAAAAACACTTTTTTCATAAAGCGCCGTTGCTTTTAAGAATCCATTTGACACGTTCTTATTTTACAAAATGATTCCTACCATCTCCTAAGACGATAATTCAAACCCATTCCAAAACCTTCACGGGTTGGAGATTTTACGATCCAAACCTGAACCCAACCGGATAAATGGGCGAATCAACCCATCCAATAAAGCTGCCAAAGCAGGACGATCAACCAAACCAATCATCCAAATAATTGAAATAAGAGAGTTGGGATATTCTGTTAGATTTTAGGGTTTAAGGTTTAGAGTTAAAGGGTTTAAAATTTAGATTTTAGGCTTTAGGCTTTAGGTTTAGGGATTAAAATATTTATGTTTTAGGGTTTTAACTTTTAAGATTATTCATTTTCATTTAGGAATTTTGTAATTTAAGGATTTAAAATTCAAATTTAACAATTAGAATAGATCTTCACCAAGGTTCAACACTTGGCGCTTATTTATTTGCATCAGTCATAAACGAATTGACTAGACTTGTTCAAGAGATCCATTGTTCCTGATGTTTACTAATGACATGGAATTAATTAATGAACCCAGCGAAGAATAAAATACAAAATATTGCATTAAAAAACAAAGATAAAATAAAATAAGACTAAAATAAAATATATACAATATAAATTTAATAACAACAACAACAATAATAGTACAATTCAGGGCAGACTTAGGATTAGACTATGTAATAACTCGATGTGACCTCTTCCGTAACCTTGGTTCAATAATTCATAAAGGAGATACTGAGGAAACCAAAATTGTTGTATGGAGTAAAAGTTCTGGGGGTAATTAAGAAACATCATTCTTGAAAATGAGTATAGCAGATATGTAAATGCTTAGATGGATTTATGGTAAAACTATAAAATACAGGGTTGGAGATGAAGTCATATTAAGGGACCTAAGAGTATCCCCGGTAGCTGATAAAATGAGAAAAAATAGATGGACATGATTTGGTTACATGCAAACAAATATCACCTACAACACCTATTAGAAAAAGTGACTTGATAAAGGGGATAAAAGAGGTAGAGGCAAACCACGAAAAAATTGGGGTGGCAATAATAAAAAATGATTTAAGCACCAATAGTTTTAAGGATCCACATGCTATTGTACAGAACACAATGGATTCATGTAGCCGGCCCACATAGATGGGACAAGGTTTAAATGATGATGATGATGATGGTTAATTGTGCATTTCTATAAACTGATAGTTTAACTTAAAAAAAAATAATAACATATTAATGAATCTCTTGTTAGTGTTATCAATGTTACATGTAATGTTTCTGCATGTAAGTATAGTAAGGAATATGTTCAATATTTGTTAGTAGCCATTTCAACCTTGGATTTAGTGTTATTAATGTATCTATGAGATTTGTGAGTGTTTTCTTAGATGTTTTCAAAATATCAAGATATCAAGATCTTTCCACCATAACCATGCATATCCAAAGCCTGTCACAATATATACATTTCAAATGGATCTCAACGGATATGTATCTAACAATATAATGAATTCAAAGATTGGCTAGCAGTTTGGCAAATTTTCTTGTTAAAAAGGGGCAACTAGGAGACATTCTGGGCACAATTGTAAAGCAAACGAACTGATGGTTGGATGTTTAAAGGAAGTGATACAATTTTCTTTTTTTATCCATCTATTGACATGGCAGATATGGTAAACCATAAAAGTAATTCCAGGTTCTAAGAATAAATTAGGAGCCAGAATATGATTAAATTTCTTTCTTTCATTTCATAAAAGCTAGAAGGCTTTGTATCCGTATTAATGACTGCAACAGAAGGCATCATTCTGACAAACCATGCCGCTCATCACCATCAAAGAAGAGCAATTGCAGATACGCTTTGGAACATTTTGAGTTTTAGATCCACAGTGGTTTCTCCCACATTCTGCACCACATTCATAATTTTGAATCCAAGATCAGTGGGTAAGTAAAAAGAGATCATCAAGTAAGGTCAGTAAAATTTCTCTCAATGGTTATCCATAACATGTAACATGTTTTAAAATTTTGCAGTTACATGATTCCATGGAACCAACTGATATATAACAGGGATGCTTGCAACTACTGCAGCTTCTGTGCATACCTACCAATGTAAAGCAAGAACTGCAAAAAGGGCTTGTCCCTTTCCATTTCCACAATTATTATGTAACCGGACCTAGAATATAAGCTCATCAACATTTGGATTGCCTTAATCCCAGGACTGTCACTAATATGGGAACATGTACCATTGAGGGTAACTAGCTTCCTGATGGGACTGGATTAGAGGAAACTTTGATGGTTTCCCCAAGTATGATTTATCACACAGGAAATGGGAAAAGGAAGATCCCATCAAACCAGACAATGAAAATGCCCTACGAAAGTATCAATTGTTACATGTTTATACCAGAGTTGAGAGGGGCAAAACAGAAGACTGTCATCTATTTCTCCCCATTGTATTTCGTACACGTTGCAAAACACGAACAAATTCATAAAATTGTGGGAAGTCCAATCCTGAAAAGTTTATACCATCAGCAGCCACTTTTGAACTTCCAGAAGTACATGGATTTTGACAGATAACCAAGTCAAAACCACCAAACTGTTTGATCAGACTCTCAATCTTGGCACTTGTCAGCCTCTGGATGTTCTCAATCTGCACCAACTCCCCAGTTTGTCCAGAGTTATGCCACCATTTCTTTAAAACCTTTCTATTTACCATGGATTCTTCTACCGAAACAACACCTTTAAGACGAACACCAAGCCGGTAAAAAGCAACTTCTGCTCCTCCTATTCCACTGTAAAGGGATAACATTGTCAAACCATGTGGAAAGATTCGCTTCAAGACAGAAAGATGATATCCCAAAGTGTCTGTCTGGAAGCAGCGCTTGAGTGTTCCAAGTCTTTCCATTAAGCCACACTCAGCAAGTTGTGTGTGATGCAATGGATAGCCCAAAATGCGTTCTAATTGATCAGGCTCAATTGTACGCAATTTGTACTGCCCAACCCATACTAGGTTTAATGTCTTGCAATGATGAAGGATATGCCTCTGCTGTTCCACTGAAACCATCCCCTGTGAATCAAGTAACATCTTTCCAAGTCTCTCACATTGTTCAGGGATTCCCTCAATTTCAGAACTGATGCAGCTCAACTGTTTCCTTGTGTCCCATGATGGCCACCATTTCTTTGTATGTGGTAATGCATCTTCAATGGTCATGGGTGACCTCGGAAGGATATGAAACCTATTATCAGTAGGAAGATTGTGTATATAGCCTTCTTTCCTACTCAAGGCTGAGAAGAACTGTGTATTCACAAACTCCGGCTCAATACCATACAAGAACTGAGATATTTTGGTCCAAGAGTCTTGAGAGACATCCACAACATTTCCATAAAAGAAATATGGAGGTCTAGCTACCATCTGACAAAGACTCCTACACGGGTTAGGTTTGGACAGCTGTGGGGTTTCTAATCTATCAAGTGGTTCTGCAAATTGATGGAGCTCTCTTTTTGGCAAAGGCATCTGATAGCTATTGATTTTGGGTTCAACTCCTTTTGCTTCTGGCCTGGAAGGGCAAAAGAAGTCAGTTGAATCATCTACATACTCATGTTTTGGCTTTTTCCCTTTAAGATTCGTCTCAAAGCTCATGTCCTTTATAGGAGGAACAACATTTGAACTTGATGCCCCAGTCTCCCTAATTGGGGATTCAGAAGAACGGCGTTTGACACGTTCTTCCATCGAACTACCTAGAGAATTCCCCTCATTTTCAGTGTGTGAACAGTGCATACTGTTATAGGTTGATAGATCCTGCACCAATAGTGGAGAATAGCCACATTCTTGAGTAAAGAAGCAGAACTATTAATAAAAGAAACAAGAAAGTAATCCTCAGAAGTCAGAACAAAATTAAAATAACTGTGACATAAAGCATCCAGAGCAACCACAGTTTTAGTTTAGACTATAAAGCCATATTATGGAAGTAAACCATGAAACATGCATATCATACAAATAGCAAGTAGGATGACCTTGAAAAAGCAGCATAGGAATAATGCAACCTCAACGACCAATCCCTCTTATAGCAGGTTTTTTTACTGTACAAATGTACAGATAATAAATCTTAGATCATCCATGGAATGTTGAGGTGCAGGCATCCATGTTGACACTTAGATGCATGTAAAGAAAGAAATTAATATGAAAATCAAACAATGCAACTGAATAAATAATGTTTTTGATAAATAACTGAATAAATAAATTATATAAGCTAAGATAAACATAAATAAATAAACTCTATTAAAAAACACAGCTACTGCTTCTAGGAGACAGACCTCATCTTTTCCAACACCGCTTTCAGCAATTTGATTTGCAAAAATCGAGTCAGCAAGCTCCCAAATTGGAATATCTGAACCTGAAATTCATGGAAGCATTTGGAATGAATGCACAAACTTAAACGAGGTTTAATCTCTATGTACTGCAATTTTAGAAGGCCTCATATTCCTAGGAAACCACCCGACAAAGTTAAGAAACAGCACCATGAGTAATTGTTCATAAATCCTGTGCTACAAGTGGCCTATATAGCGAAGTTATTAATACTATTTATCAAGAACAAGATCGAAGAGATCATAGAAAAATCAGCAAGAACAAGTACAAGGTAGTAATCCCGTAACATGGAAGAACAGAATAAACAAGTAAACTTCCCAAAGAGAACCTAAAGACTAATCCTTCTGATCTACACCTTTCTCTAGCTAGAGAACCACAGTTGTTATCTGATCTTTGAACCAATTTGGACATTATGTTCACTCTTGAAGCCAAGGATCTGACCTCCCCCATACAATGCAATATATCCAAGGGTCTTTCCCTGCCCTCCCTCATCTATCTGGTTACTTCTTGGGAATCACCTTCCACCTCCAATGACAAGTAATCAAATCAAATACAGACAGCAACCACAATCCTGCAGAAATGACCATATCTTAGAATGTAACGAGTGCACCTTCGTCGCTTCTAGAAACTCACTGCCCCTAACTCCTGAAGATCCTAGATAAATAAAGCATATATTAAGTCTAGCTTTAAGGTGCCTATACGAGAAGGGGACCAATGCTGTCAAGTCATCTCTTTGTTGGTGACTAGAGGAAGCTAAATTTTGTCAATTTCTTAATGATATCATTCATGCCAAGCGAGTTCAGTTATCACTCCTGAATTTTGCTTCTTATTTCCAGTAATCCACTCATCCCAAGTAGACCACAGCATCACCTCAAGGAAAATTCTGTTCAATCTTTTGATATTGCTTTGCTAGAAGACTAACAAATTCAATTGACTAAGCACCTTAATGCTTTGGGAGTTCCATTTGTGAAGTTATTCTCCTGGTCCATGAAAAAGAAGGGGCTCAACTCTATGATCCATAATTCCTTTTTCCATCTATTGGGGACAAGGAAAAAGAAGGAATATAACGTTTAATTTATAACTTATAGAGGCCTTTGCTGAAGCTATGTGCAGATGTTAGCAGTTTTTTGATGGACTGAGACTTGGCACTTTTTGACTTCAACAATACATTTGTAGAGACTTTACCAGGCATGCTATTTTTTACGTCTAGATGACAGTATATTGTAGAGTTGCTCTTGTCCTCCAATCTTTTCTATACTTCCTTACATGTTTTATTGGAGAACATTCTAGAATTCATTTTCCTCCGAAATGATCCGCAAAGAAGTAGTTGATTGCATCTTCAATGATTTTTTCTGTGCTAAAGGAAGCACAATCTAAACATCAAATTGGTACTTCAAAGGGAAACTTGGCCTACTTAGGTTCATTAACTGCTTTTCTATTTTCACCAAAAGACTGAAAAAAAAAATCCCTGAGAGCAATGCATAGCGTCCACCAAGAACAAAATAACAAATCACCAGTAGCTTGAAAATACAAGAAAACAAATAAATAAATAAAATGTAGTCATGATTTAAACCTAGTCCATTTATTGCCAATTTCTTGGGAAGTCTGTAGCTAAAACATCATATATCAGGCAAGTCACAAAGAATGCACATAGCTAAACATAGATAAGTTATTCCTTCCTACTGAGGAAAAGCTTATACATCATCACAATATCAATTTTAGGCCTATGCAAGCTGTCCATGTTGTTAAGGTTGAGTTCATGCTTTTGAGTAGACAAAATATGATGAGAATCATTTACCAAATTTTTCAATAGCTGATGAAATTTCATGCTCCGAGAAACCCATTTCAAGCAAGCGAAGTGTCTTATCCATGGTCCCAAACAAAGCTTCAGTGGTAATTTCCTGAGATGAGGAATAAATAGCATTAAGAACCCTTCAAATTTGCCTATGCAAGTATTGAGGACAACAAATTCAAGTGGCATTCAGAAACATGTATTAATAAATAGACTAATGCCAAACATGTATTAATAAAAATGTATTAAGAAGCATGTATTCAACAAATTCAAGTCAGATATGCATATGAATATGCACCATCACCAACATTACTTGAAATGCCAAACATAACAGAACCACCAAGATTGTATTTACTGCACCATTAAGAGCAAACACCCTTTCTATACAACATCAAATGGTATTAGGTACCAACCCCTACAGTAAATATATTATGGTAAATATTACCAAATTGATTCTTGTTTCCAGTGCTTAAAGTACACCATTTACCAAGAATTGCTTCAGATTACTGTCAATCTTGTTGCACAGGAATCTTTTATCTTTCAAAGGCTGTGGATCACTGATAACAGCTTTCTTTAAGTTGTCAAAACAGACTGAGACTGTCCTATGATAGGGAATGCTTATAAGGTTGAAGTCTTCCAAAGTGGCTTTTATGTTCTGCAAAGGGAGATTTTCCCTTTTCTCAGTAACAGAAATATACTTACACGCACACACACATACACACTTTACCTTCTCTCAAAAAGAAATTTTTGTGGAATGCAGTATGGAAAATCTTAATCGCAGAGGCATGGAGTAAGGGATGTCAATGGGTCGGTTCTACCCAACTGAACTGATTATATCAGTTCTTCTGTGATTTTGTCCTGATTAACAAATGGATCAGTTCTGGTTCTTATTTGTTCTTGTAGTTCGATAGAAAAAGAAGAGAGAAGAGAGAAGAGAGAAGAGAGAAGAGGGAAGAGAGAAAAGGGAAGAGAGAAAAATCTATTCAAAAGTCTCAAGATGGCAGCACCTAAGCTAGTATTTATACTTAGGGCGACAGCTCATAACAAATACAATGAGAAAAAGGCAGAAATGCCCCTACTAGGCCACAGGCTGCTACACATTACAACACTCCCCCTCAAGTTGGAGCATATATGTTAATCATGCCCAACTTGTCACATAGTTTATTATGCCGTAAATAGTGAAGACCCTTCGTAAGAACATCAGCTAGTTGTTCCTTGAAACTGATGTAAGGAGTACAAACTTCCCCCTTTTCAAGTTTCTCCCTTATGAAGTGCTTGTCAACTTCAATATGCTTGGTCCTGTCATGAAGAACTGGATTGGCAACAATATTAATGGCTGCCTTGTTGTCATAGTAGAGAGACACTGGACCATCAACAGAGAGGCCCAACTCTCCAATCAAATTCTTTACCCATAGTACTTCAACAACTCCATGTGCCATCGCCCTACACTCGGCCTCAACACTAGATCTGGCCACTACACTTTGTTTTTTGCTTTCCAAGTGACCAAAGTTCCACCAACAAAAGTACAATATCCACTAGTTGATTTCCTATCATCAACTGCTCCAGCACAATCTGCATCCGTGTAGACTTCCACTTTCATATGATCATGTTTCTTCAAAAGTAATCCAGTTCCTATATATTTCTTCAAATACCTGAGTACCCTCTCAGCTGCCTCTAAATGGGAGGATGTTGGTGCATGCATAAACTGACCAAAGACACCAACAACATAAGCTAAATCTGGCCGAGTCATTGAAAGGTAGAGAAGTCTTTCTACCAGCCTTTGAAATTTCTTGGCATCTGTCACTGGTTCTCCAATACAATCACCAAGCCGATGGTTTTCCTCAATAGGAGAATCTACAGGCTTTGTTCCTAACTTTCCCATGTCCTGCAAAAGATCTACGACATACTTCCTTTGAGAAATGAAGATGCTCTTTTTTGAGCGGGCAACCTCAATACCAAGGAAATAACGTAGCTGTCCCAAATCTTTCACCTCAAACTGCATAGCAAGGGATTCTTTGACCTTTTTAATCACAAAGTCTCAATTCCCTATAATCACAATGTTATCAACATAGACAAATATTACCACAACATTCTTTTGGTTTCTCTTGACAAATAGAGTATGGTCAGATTGGCACTGCCTGAACCCAATTTGCTGATGAGCCAAGTGAAATCTATTGAACCAGGCCCTTGGGGATTGTTTCAAACCATATAAAGATTTTTTTAGTTTGCAAACTTTCCCTTCACACCTTTGTGCTACAAACCCAGGAGGTTGAATCATGTACACTTCTTCTTCTAGATCCCCATTTAAGAATGCATTTTTGATGTCCAGTTTGTGGAGCTCCCAATCAAAGTTAATAGCCAAGGATAGCATAATCCGAATAGTGTTCATTTTAGTATAATCCAAATAGTGTAAATAGCCAAGGATAGTATAATCCGAATAGTGTTCATTTTGTTTCTATAATTGCTGATTAGATCAATCAGCCTATTCTAGGATTGATTTCAGCCTCGTGTGTGTATTTCCTTCTCAATAAATATTACTTTACCTTTTCCAAAAAAAATGTCTCAACATAATCAACCCCATACACCCGAGTATACCCTTTTGCAACTAACCTGGCTTTATACCTCTCAACCGACACATCTGCTCTATGCTTTACTGTGAATACCCACTAGCATCCCACTGGCTCCTTAACTCTGTCCATTCAGATATATATAAGACTTCTGCAACACTTTTGGGAATGGAGACACAATCAATGGCAGTCAAAAAGGCACGACATGAGGGAGCAATGTTTTCATAGGACAAGAACTGAGCAATAGGATGCTTAGTAGTACATGATCGAACCCCTTTTCTATGAGAAGTTGGGACATCAAGATCATTAGTAGAATCATCAATAGCAATAGGTTCAGTAATATCAATGGAAACAAGGGTACCTGGATTTTCCTTCAAGAAGTCAGATGGTGCTGGATGTAGTCTCAAGTAGCTCCACAACCTTTGAGTTCTGCTGTCCCTTGCAGCGCCTCAAGAAGACACGGAATGGAGAAGAGTCAGGAATAAAGGGAAGAGGAATTTGAGGAGCTGGAGCTCGCCTATCCTCCTTCACACTATTCTCCCCTGAGGAGAGGCTTGGAACAAGGCTTCAGATTCAAAGAAGGACAAATCCATCGACACAAAGTACTTATGTGTGACCGGATTGAACCATTTGTAACCCTTTAGGAAGAGGGATAACCCAAAACCGTTTTACAACATGCATGTTAAGCATCATACTACGGGCAACTTCGACAAGATGGCAGTTCTTCCTTTCAGCAATGCCATTATATTATCGTGTTTTGGCACAAGAGCTTCTATGAAGAGATCCATGAGAGGACAAAAACTCGGCTAAGTCATGATGGAAATACTCCTTCACATTATCTTATTGGAAAGTTTGGACTTCAACATGAAATTGAGTGAAAACCATTCAATGGAAATCTTGCACAATCTCGGGTACCTCTTCTCCCAAATGCATAGGATATAGCCAAGTGTATCCCGAATAATCATAAATAAAGTTGATAAAGTACTTGTACCCACCCTTAGTAGGTATGCTTACAGGGCCCCAAACATCATAAAAGACAACATGGAAAGGCAAAGTAGATATTTTATTATTTGATGAAAAAGTTGTTCTACAATGCTTACTCAAATGACACGTTTGACAATGTAAACTAGTAATAGACACTAACTTGAACAATTCAGGAAACATAACTTTCAAAGACTTGAAGGATAAATGATCAAGGCGATTATGCCATAACCATAGTTGATTGTTTGTAGACCGACTTATTGACTAACTCATAAGACTCACAAGGGTTGATGCCGCAAGACCGGCTTTCTTCTCCAAGATGTATAGGCCATCAACCATATTTTCTTTACCAATCGCCCTCCCCAAGGTTAAATCTTGGAAAACACAAGAATGGGGAAAAAAGTTACACAACAGTTTAAGGACTGAGTAATACTACTTATAGATAACAAATTAATAGGAAGTTTAGGAACATGAAGGGTATGGGACAAGACAAGGCCATCAGGAAGGGATACAGATCCCTGACCAGCAATGGTGGATAGAGACCCATCAGCAAGTCTCACTTTATCCCTTCTAGAGAGAAGAGTGTAGGTCTGAAAGAGATTTGACTTACCAGTCATATGGTTTAATGCCCAAGTCAATGACCCAAGCATAGTTTTCAAGGCGCCAAGGCGAGGTTGGGCGTTAGGGTGGCACATTGTCGCCTAATCGCCTAGGCGATGGATTTTTAATATGGAAAACATAGATCCTAGAGTAGTTCCCTAGGTACCATAGCCATATTTTCTTAATAATTATTCATAATTTTCATAAGAAAAGTATAGAGTTCATGTTTAAGTATAGAAAATGTGTTGATTAGACAAAATTTTAAGTTCTTCCTTACTTGTTGGTTCACGTTTTAAAGTCTTTGAGGGTTCAATACAGCATTTAGAAATGTTTGTAATGATTAAATCCTAACAAATAAGAAAATAATAAAAACAAATTAGTATTTAAACACAAAATGAATATTTTAGTTTAATAGCGCCAATTTTATAATTATAATGTCAAAAAATAAAGAATAAAAAAGTATTTTACAATACATAGTACAAAACTGCTTGGCGATTAGGCAAGGCGAGCCTCAAAGGGCGCCCCGTTTCTCCTCCACTTTACTCTCCCCTTGAGGAGAAATAGAGAAAAAATGGTCATTCTCAAAGAAAGACACATCTATAGACACATAGTATTTCCTGGAAACGAGGTCAAAACACTGATAACCCTTTTGAGAAGAAGGGTAACCCAAGAATACATAGGAAATGTTATGAGGATCAAGTTTACCACGAGTAGGAGATAGGCATTGGACAAAACAACGACAACCAATCACACAAATAGGGATAGAGAGAGAGGAGCCTTGGGAAACAAGAGCTTATGGGAGGTCTTGTACCCTAACAAGCGAGATAGCATATGGTTGATAAGATAAGCAGCAGACAACACAACATCCAACCAAAAATGTTTAGGAACATTCATGTGTATCAGTAACCCACAAGCAACTCCAAGGAGGTGGCAGTTTTTTCTTTCGGCAACACCATTCTTTTGGGGGGTTCTAGCACAAGAGTTGCGATGTATGGATCCACATGAAGCAAAAAACTCCGTGATATCGCCATGAAAGTATTCTTTGGCATTGTCTGATTGGAAAATTTAGATCTCCATTTGAAATTGAGTGAATATCAAGCATTGGAAATCCTTAATGATTTTGGGTACTCCATCTTTGGACCGCATAGGATGCACCCATGTATATCGAGAGTACTCGTCAATAAGCGTAATGAAATACTTATAGCCATACTCAAATGGTAAAGTAGCAAGGCCCAGACATTAGAATAAACAACGTGGAAAGGAAAACCAGATTTATTAATTCTTGAAGTAAAATGATTTCTACAATGTTTGCTCAACTGACAAGTTTGACATGTGAAATCCGACATTGACACTAACTTAAATAAATCTAGTAACAAAACTTTCAATGATTCAAAAGATAAATGACCCAAACGACAATGCCATAAATGGACTTGACTCTTACTAGACAAACTCTTAGACTCGATAGCCGCAAGACTAGCTTTATTCTCTAGCATGTAAAGACCATCCACCATACGACCTCTACCAATCATCTTCCCTAAGGCCAAATCCTGTATCACACAAGAGGAAGGGAAAAAGGTTACTGAGTAGTTTAATGAATTTGTTATACTACTAACAGAGAACAAGTTTATAGGTAGCTTTGGAACATGTAGAACATCAGAAAGGGTGAGTCCAAGAGGAAGGCAGATGGTTCCTTGACCAGCTAGGTTGGAGAAAGAACCATCAGCAAGTCTCACCTTGTCCCGACCAGATAATAGATGATTACATAGAAAACAATTGGACCTACCCGTCATATGGTTCGAGGCTCCATAATCTATTATCCAAGGAGAGTCTAAGGGATGTGAGGACACATGGAAAGCTGTAGCAGAATTACTGTTACCTGATGTAGACACAAAGGAAGTTGAAGGGGGAGAGCAAATTCCATCTGATGGATTGCCCTCCCATATAGCTCCAAATGGTCACGCAAAGAATTAATGATATCTTCCCTAGGATCAATCACAGAAGGGCTCATGGTAGTGGTAGATGATTGAGGCTCCTGAGAAGCTAAGTTTGTGAAATTAAACATCTTTTGACCTTGTTGTCCGAGCTTCTTATTCTGGTCTGATATTTTACTCAGCTCCTGGGCCCATTTTGGCTTCCCATGAAGTTCCAAACATGTATACCGAGTATGTCTAGATTTCTGACAATGTGTAAACCATAGCTTATCCTTATCATCAACTTTCTTCTAGAAGTCACTCTTCTTGAAGGAATTGAAGGGATGAGAGATCCATCATATGGATGGCCGAACCCTGGAGGAAGGTTGGGCGAAATTTCAAAAAATTTCTCTCTCCCGTCTGGGCATCACATTCCGTATTTTAGAAAACTGCATTTTCAAGGATCATTCTTGAAACAAAACCGGACTAGATCTAAAACCAAAGGGAGGAGAGGGATATACCTGATACGAAGTAACAGTAACTCCCAATGAAGGTGTCCACGCCCAAGGAGAAAACCAAAACCCGCTTTCACTGAAGATAGCACAGTGCGTAGTGAAGCAGGATCAGCAGGATAGCTCTTCAGCAAGAATGGAGTAAAGGGTTGGTGAGCACGACTTCAGATTATTTCTTCAAGCAAGAAAAAATATCAAGAACTCTTCTTGATAGGTGAAGATCGAACTGGGTAGGGATAGCAAGAACAAGGAGAGAATTCTGCAGATTGTTGTATTTAAAACTGAGGAATTCACCCCCTATTTATAGTCTTCTTTGAATCAGCCTCCTAATCTAATTAGGAGAGAGTTTCTTTATCCAAATTTGATATTTGGATCTGGACTCTTAAATGGATAAGACTTATCTTATCCTTTCAGCTAATCCTAATCAAATTATAAATCAATTCTTGCCACCTTTTAATTAACCAATTTCAGCCTAGTTCGAATTGGGCTTTAGGCCCATTAAGCCTATGTGCTCACTTACACCTTTATCCTGCTGCCCAGTTGGCTCTCTTTGTATGGCGTGGGACCCTTACATCGATCTACACATCAGTCACATGGGTTCAGCCCAGCCTTTGTTACAAGGCCTGGTCGAATTCACTGTAGGAGACAGTGAACCCCTAAGTCCATCACCATGGGCTCTTAATGGGCCCAACATTTACACTAAATGGTCGTTGGGTCCAGCCACCTTATGAAAACCCAAGGACTGTGGGCAGATGCAAAATTAGCCCATCAGGTATTACCCTCAATGGTCTTACACTTAACCTCTAAGCCCATAATGATCAAACACTACCCGACAAGAGAGGACCTCTCCCTCGGCTGCAAGGAACAATGTCACTCTCTACTTACATGCCAAATCAAATGTACAAAAAACATAACAAAAATCAGGTCTGACCAGTCCCTCCAAACAACAATTCATCAATTTTTTTCACACGACCACTGAAGTTTCAATAGGAACTAAGGAAAGAAAAACTGTTGTCACAACAGTTACAGAACATGCAGACCTGAACAGCCCACCTTTTGGGGCACAAGAAGTATCACTCGCTCCACATAGGTTGAGAGGAAACACTGTCACAACAGCCATAAGTCATTAGACCCACATAACCCACTCACCTGAGTACAAAAGGATCAATTTGATCCACAAAGTTGAGGAGAAAAGAGAAAAAAAAATTAAAAAAAAAGAACTTTAACAGCATTCAGCTTCCCTCCCCTTGGTGTTTTTTGGGCCCACAACCAAGAGGGGAGAGGAAGAATCACACAGCAAGCCTCCTCACATTAACCAGAAGTCCCTTTTCTTTGATTCGATCACCAATGGACAAAGAAAGCAGCTGAAGAAAGAAAAGGACTGATCCCACTGCTCCTAAGGCTAGATCTATCGCTTTGATACCATGTTTTCTTGGTAAACACGCAGCAGAATCTCAGAATAGTGAGAGAAAAGGAGAAAAAGGTTTTGGAGAGAAAAAACTCAGCTGGTCGTGCCAGCCTTTTTGATATTTATATTAGGGCAACCACTCAAATAATAAAACAATGTAAAATTACATGTTTGCCCTTGCATCACTAAACTAAAGTAAGACTAGCTTATTCAATATACCTTAGGGGCAATAGGCCTACACCAAACCTCCTTAAAAGGGAAAATCTATTGAGACAAAGATTGGCAAAGGAATTTAAAGAACGAAGCACAGGAGAAAATACCAGAGGGCCGATAAGTCCACATCCTTTTGTTTGGTTCAGAGGGGTCCAAACAAACTTTATTAAGACAACTCAAAAGGTGAATTAGACTCTCAATCTCCTCATCCCTTAATCCTCTACAAAACCCAAAATCCCAAATTGGTGCCACAGGAGTTTCCAAATGGGAAAGAATTTTGAAGCAGACTCTTTTTTCTTTATGAATGAGAATATTTATTAATTATGAAGGTATAGGCATTACAAGCATCCCTTAGATAAGCAAGCTCTTTTTTATATCAAGAGACAATAAACAATGATGGAAAAAGGTCCTTCAAAGGAGCCACTCCAACCCAAGTATCCTCCCAAAAAAGGACTGAAGTACCAACACACACATCATACCAAACAAAGTTACGAAATTGAGGGAGAATACTATTAATTGCCTTCCAAGGTGTTGCCAATGTAGCCCGCCAAGATACTCCAGCATCCCTTTGTTCTCTAATTGACCAGAAATACTTTCTACCACCTTGTGCCACAATCTCCCTCTTTCTAGTGGCCACCTCCACAACCACTTTCCCAATAATGTTGTGTTCTTTTGCAAAAGGTTCCCTATTCCCAAACCTCCCTCCTCTTTATTCCTACACACCACTTCCCATTTTATCAGATGACCCTTCCTACTCTCTCCCGGTTCCCAGAGGAAATCCCTTGTCAATTTCTCCAACTTCTTGGCTTTCCTAAAAGGAATCCTAAAGGCTAACAAGAAATAAGATGATAGGTTAGCAAGGGTGGCTCTAATTAGGGTGATTCTACCTCCCAAAGGCTACCTATTCCCAAACCTCCCTCCTCTTTATCCTACACACCACTTCCCATTTTATCAAATGACCCTTCCTGCTCTCTCCCAGTTCCCAAAGGAAATCCCTCACCAATTTCTCCAACTTCTTGGCTTCCCTAAAAGGAATCCTAAAGGCTAACAAGAAATAAGATGATAGGTTAGCAAGAGTGACTCTAATTAGGGTGATTCTACCTCCCAAAGAGATGAAATTCTTATTATACGAAGCCAATCTTTTTCAAATTTCTCTACAACCGGGCACCAAATGCTACTTTCCCTAGGGTTTTCTCCTAGAGGGAGTCCCAATTAGGTCATAGGCCAAGTGGATATAGAACATTCTAAACAGTCCGCAATCACCACCACCTCTCTACTTTCCAATTTTATACCTACTACAATACTCTTAGATTGACTCTCAGATTTGAAATCCTTTCAAATCTTTTCACCAACATCTTTAGATTTCTCATCTTCTCAAGATCTCCCCCTTCATAGAGAATTAGTAAATCATCTACAAATTGAAGTTGGGTATAGTAATGCAATTATGTTATTTTGAAAATTTTTAGATCAATTTAATTGATTGTAGTCAATTTGATTTTAGAAATTGGAAGTTCTACTTCTTAAAGATCAAGTTAAAGAGTGCAGAGCATATTTCTTAAATAGCCCTAATAAAATTAGGGGTTCCCTTGGTTTGACATGTCTTAATTTAATAATCATTTTTAAGTTGTTCTTAGAGTAAACAAGGAATTATTACAGGCTAGCTTATAATATGATGTAACAATTATTCAAGGTTGAGCAAATTCTGTATACACAACCATGATAACGTGCATGACACAACTTTAGAAACAAAACAACTGTAACATAAGCATCATTTATGAGACTAAAATACCTCATTATTTCCATCATGGCCAGAAGTGGGATCACCTGTGTCCCTCCCTGATCCTCCAGCTACTTGAGCAGCAATTATGAAATCCACAAGCTCATTCATGGGTGCACCTTCACCTGAAACAAAAACATGGAAGATAAATAACCAAGGTATGGAGAATTTCAAATGACTTCTAGGAGGAAACGAGAAGAATTTTAACACCATAATTTGATTGATAACAAGAAGAATTTGCAAAACCTAAGTTACAAATCGCCATCTTGAATGGGAAAAGGACCAATTCAAGCGCATCCTATTTTTTTATAAGACAAAAGGTATCCCTATCCATAGAGATCAACATTAATGCAAAAGGTTACTTTGTCACAAAAATGTATTGTTGGACTAATGATCAAAGTGTGTCCTCTTTTTTTTTGATAGATAATAAGAAGGTATTGTATTAATGAAAAGAGGAGGGCGAGAAGCCCTTAATCAAATACAAAAGTGTGTCTTTAACATGCACAGATCATGTACAGCGAGAGCTCTATAATTTCCAAAAGAAAGAAAACTCAAAAAATGATCAAGAATGTGTCCCCTTTATCAAAGTTGGGATGTTGGGATGTGATCAATCTTTTTACTGATTTTAAATGGGGGTCATGTTAATGTGCTCCCCCTCCAAATTACCACAAATTATGGCATACACATTTGAGGATATTTCTTGGAGGCCATTGGATGGTGCAATAGTAAAACCTAAGGCTGAAAAGCATGAGAACATGGTTTCAAGCATCAAGGAGTATAATGGAAATTGCCAATCTAGGCCATGGCCCTTCTTGACCACCTATTGATCCAATATAGGTAATGGCATTGTATTGCTTATGCATAAACACCGTTTATTGCATCAATCAAGCAATAAAGAGGGGTGATGCAGGTAAAAGGCAATGTGCTTAACAACTAAAAGCTATTCAACGTGATATAGGACCAAGGTTCAAAGTATCCAAATCGCAAGATGCATCGGTAAGGCAATTTTAAGAGACGTATTGCAATATGCCTTAGATACCCATGGATACACTAGTAAACTCAAATAAATCTTAAAAATATATGTTAATAACAATATATATATAAGTTTAATATAATTATAAATGAGTTATTAAACATTAAAAAAAACATACTTCAAGGATTTATATAAATTGCAAGATATCGGGACACAATAACCATTGAAGAATGATGGAAGAACTAAAATTTATATTTATATATCTCAATATTTTTTATCAGCAAGAAAATTGGAATTATATTAAAATATGAAATTGGTCAATACAACGAAAGGGTAAATGCACCCATATATACCCCTTGTTTTGCTAAAGTATTACCCAACAAAGCTACAAGGTTACAATATCGCCCAAAACAATTGTTGTCTATATAGCCCTTGCTTTGCTAGAGTATCAACCATCCCATTTTATGACCTTCTAAACCAATTAAGCATTATGTCCAGCTCCTGCTTGATGCTTTCTATTTCCCTAAGACTGTGTTTGGAAGTAGTATAAATATCGGTTCATTGTTATTTTACACTCCGGTCCGGTTTTGCGGCTGTTTGGATGGAGTGTAAAACAACAATGAATATCAATGTAAACAACCTCTTCGACATATTTTTACATCAAGAATCGATGTAAAAATTTTTTCGTCTCTCCATCGGTGTAAAAGTACTCTCAGTAACATCTCTCTTCTCCATCTCTGAACTGCTCCCATGGTGGTAACTATTCATCGGTGTCGTTGCATCTCCGCCGTGCATCTCTCGGTCAGCATCTCGCTTTCTTTCTCTCTTCGTCGGCGTCTCTCTTCTCCATCTTATCCGTCGTGCATCTGGTTCCATCTTCTCCATTGTACATGTAGTTGAGAGGTGATTATCTTGGAGACCCATTTTAACTTGAAATACTTTTAGCCCCATTTCTCCTTTGTTACTATATTTTGACTGAAGCTCTAAAAGTCATATATGATAAGTGAAAGATGTCATACAGAAATCTCTCTGATTTCTTCTAGGAAACCCACGGTCCCACCAACAAAGAATATCTAGTAATTTCACCTTCTTACTGCTTTCCTCTAATGTTATTTATTTGATTTTTTACTTTCATGTTCCCCTTTTCTATTCCTCTTTCCTTACCAAAGATTGTTGCAGAATTTTGGGTTAGATACACATTACCGATCAGCGATATTTTACATAGGAATAGAGGAAGCAAGTGTAGGACTTGAAGATCAGACAACAGATGAAGCTGAACAAAAGAATTGTCACAAAGATCATTCCCTATGGCTTTGATTTCCTTATCGCAGAGAACCAACACCAGATGTAGTATTTTGCAAAAGAACTATAGACTTTGCGAGAGCTTAACTAAAGATGTCTGTTCTGAGTTTTGTTTTTCCCTATAAACATCTGCAAAGAAACAGGACAAGTATCAGAAGCCAAGCCGAGTGTAGAGAAATGAGACCCAACAAATGTCAAAGACAGTTTTTGACAGATTTACACATGGAAAGCATTTTCTGAAACTGTTGAAATTCAGATTTGCTGGTCAAAGCTTCAACGCCTATGATCAAACTGTGTTGGAACTAGTTGGAACTCAAATTTTCCCTCTTTTTTCTAACCCAAGAACGGAGGAAATACTTTCAACTTCAGAGTTCAGACTTCTGAGTTCTGAAATCATTTCGTCATTGAGAGGAGAGAGAGTTGGGGAGTGTGGATATTTGCATTTGATGAATATTCTCCAAATGCATACAAAAACACGACGCTATGCTTACATCTATCATCAAAGCACACAAGACTGTAAAACGAGTATAATGCCGATTCGCTTTTTACACTCAAACATCTAACCGTTGTTAAACTCCATCGGTGTAGTTTTGTATTTACACCGCAAACAAACGCACAGCCTAAACTCATGCCTATAGATCCATGGCACAAGCTGGCTGCTTACTCCTGGCCCCAAATTGATTATTTTTTAACCTCCATCTACTTCCAATTGCTGAAAATTTGATTGTTTGGCAATTCATAACCCTTGAAGTAATGACATCAGCTCTGTCTTTAGTGACTCTCCTAGCCACAAGGGTCCTGAAAACATAGCCAAAACTTTCCCCAAACCATCTCGAAATACTCCTCCAATACCTGCCATTACTGTACTCCCCCATGGAACTCCCATCAAAAATTAATTTTATTTTGTGAGCCATTAGGGATTGCCACTCCACAAAGACCTTTTCCTTTTTTAGAAGATGTCACCTCAGTCCAGGTCCTCAAGATTTCAGTCACTGAAAATTCTTTGAAGAGAACAAATGTCTTTACCCAGTGTGATGCTCTAATTTTTATTACTTCAACCATTTCCCCTTTCATTCTACTTTTGTCATTGAAAATCCTCCCATTCCTTTCCTCCCAACTGCAGCGCGAATTGCTTTCCACATAAGTCTTCCTCTCCTTCTTGGATGCCTTAGTAAGCTTGGGCTAAAGAGGCTCACTACATCCTGCAAAGAGGACCACCTATAGCCAAAAAAGAGAACAGCAAAGATCCCAAACACAAAGCACAAAAGGACAAGAAAGTGGTAAATGAGATAAGGATTCACCACTTGCAAAGCAAAGGAAGCATATGTGAGGCAATAAGCATTTGTTTGGCCTTCTTTTCTGGAGCATATCTCTAGTGTTTACCTTACCAAGAAAGACTTCACAATACAAAGCCTAGATTTTAGGTGGGATAGGCTTGCCCATTAAAATTTTGACAAAATCCCAACCTTAACCTGCAAACGTTGCACCCTAGATTAGGAGTCCAAGACCACACTCTAGTGTCCTCCACTGACCGATCCAGAAAGGTTAATTGAAGTTTATCCAACAATTGAGTAAGTGCCTCAAATTCATCATCCCACAGTCCCCTTCTAAAGTCAAAATCCCAATGTACCCCTGCAGGAGAAAATGTAACAAACCTCGATATAGGTTGTTGTTTATAGTTAGACAATGAGAGAATAGGCTAGGGAAAGCATATTGAAGAGGGGTTTCAGCAAACCTTGAGTCACACATCCCACACCAAATCTAGTGAAACTGATGAAAATTAGGTATACTACCTGTATTGATTTCCAGGGAGAAAGTGTTGTCGAGGAAGAAGCTACTTTTGAATCCCATCCTTTTTTTATCAATAACAGAAAGCTTTCATTTAGAATTAAAGAAATGAATACAAGGAAAAAAGGGAGAGGTAAACCCTCTTAACCCTCCCCTAGGGAAAACAAAAAACAAATTACAACATAGCCCAGAACATTTATTCCCTTCCCACCCCTTGCTTAGCAAGAGTATCCACAAAAGAGCTGCATTTTGCTTAGCAAGAGTATCCACAAAGGAGATGGCATTTTGCTTAAACAATCTTCTTTCATTAGAAAACTTCCATAGACCATTCTCTTCTTTTTGCAGCCAGACAATAACTAGTTTTGAATCCCCTTCAACAATAAGCATGCAACAATTCAACTCCTTAGTTCTTGCCAATTTAACAACAATGAACCATGATGATTTAATGAAGTTTCAGTTATTGATCAAAAAAAAAAAACAATGAACCATGGCAATTGGACTGCGAGGAATGAGAAATATGCCAATACTTTTACCAATGACACTAAAAAAGGTTAATGTGCTCATTAACCTCACTGCAGGGATAATGGCCCATTGGCCCCCTATCTCAGAAGAGTTCAAGGTAGTCATAATGGTCTCCATGATAAGAGGGTGGAATCTGGTGGATAGCAAAGAAGTCACATCAATCAGATATAAGTTGCACTTGAAGGGTTAGTTTTGATGGTTTCTCTTAAGGCAACCCTGGAAATTCCAGGGTGGGTGGCACTTCTAGGAATTGCGAAGGTAGCACCCCATTGAGTTTTTAGCTCCTTTAGGGGAAGGAACTCCCCTAAAGCAGATTTACTTGCTCTCTTAGAAGGCTTGATGTTAGCCTACTTTTCAGGTTTGAGCCAGTTGATTGAAGGGGGGGCGGGCTGCCAAGTGGTGATAAGGTGGATGACCTTGGCTGAGAAATGTCTTTGGTTCTTTAATCCAAGTTTGAGAGGTCAAGGCCTTAGCCATCCTACTAAAGAGATTGTTCAGGTAGAAAACACAGTCAGCTAATAACTAGCTGATTCTCTTGTC